CCGTTGCCCACTTTGCACGGATGCCCAGCTCGACGACTTCCAAGGGGAGGGTCGTCCTGTACTCGCCAGCCTTGTGGCGTCTCCTCGCATCAGCTAGTCGTGCCTCCTCGCCAGCCGGATCTTTCCAGGACGGGCATCATAGTCCCACAAGCTGCCGGCCTACGAACGACTTAGTAGGTGCAAAACTCGGACAGATCCGCTAGTTGGACTATCTGGAGTCCAACTTCCACTACACATTCACATACGAAAGGGTGCATCGAACTTTGCCGACACACTTAAACGCCCAATTGCCCAACTATATGCCATCCTACTAGGCCAATCTAGCCCGCTACTTACATGACTATGAATCCACGGCTACCTCACCGACCCATTCTTAACCAATGGTAATTCGCAGAACTTGACAGAAGCAAAAGGAGTCTAGCATGTAAATGCGTATACCTATCGCATATGGGTACTAACGCACTCGTTGCTACGGGAGATGTTACTGAAGGAGCCCCACAACCGAGTTACCTTAGGTCACTTCGGGATAGAAAAACAGCAGCTGCAGCGGTATTACTATTAGCTGGAGCTGCTAACAGACGTGCAACACCACGTGGGATCATGGCCCACGTGCCAGAGTATGAAGGCTTTGTGGAAAAAGTAGGCTGGGTTATTGTAGTCGATCCCGCCACCCGAACACGCCTAGCAATAAGTGAATATATATTTTGCCACTGGGTTACTTGTGGTACCGAGTGGTAACGACGCTGTCATGGTTGTCGTGAATTGTTTGACAAAAATGGCCCACTTCGTTGCATGCAAGTCCATCTCAGCCGAAGAAACCGCTTGCTTGTGCTTCATGACCGCCGTTCAACCCCAGGGGATACCAGCAGCAATCATCAGGGAATGCAATATGAAGTTCACGATTCGGCACGCATCAACAACTTAGGTCATCGTATCACCCTAAAACCGACAGACAGGCGGAACAGACAAAGCAGACCATGGAGCAGTTGATTTGCGCCATAAGTGACGACTGCAAAGAATGGGAAGAACAACTACTGTTGATTGACTTCGCACATAACAATGCCGTGCCAGGTATGACAAATTTTTTGCCGTTCTACTTGAACTATGAACCGAATCCACATGTGCTCATGACGCCGAATCCAGACAACTTGATGCCACATGCTCAACAATTTGTTAAAATACTACAAGTTGCCCGGACTCATGCAGCAGAAGCAATTGAAGAAGCCAATGTTATTGTTAATAGAAGTGTCGTTCATTACCGGACTTAGTCCTACATGACACCTAGAACCTTCGTCTGACCACTGTACAAAAAAATCCAGCCTTGATATCATGGTCCGTTCAACATCAGCCATATGATTTAACCTTCCAACGCCCATATAATGTTACCCGCCGACTAGTACATCAGCCCCTAGTTCTACGTCAGTCTCCACTGGCCATCAATGACCCGCCTAGCATCTGAGCCAATAGTCGAAGCCGAGAAAACTCTCAGCCAATGATCTGACACCCCTAGGGATATCGGAGGATTAAATTCCTTGTTCATTGGAAAGATTGTACGCCAACTAATGATAGTTCGGTGCCACTGACCAACATCGAGAAACACACTGTCCTCTAGGAGTTCACGCCATCAGGGACTCGTTGTAGTACCTTGTCCTGGCGTCGTCGGTATCTTCAGCAGGTTCCGCGTAACTCCCGTCGAAGTAATGGAAAATCTGAGCGTTCTGGAGCAGGAGCTCTAGCTCGAAGCTCTAAGTATTAAAAACCCCGCCGTCTAAGCAGGTACTTGTCTTTATTTTTGATTTACTGAGAAACCTTGATTGTTCAGAGGGAATTGCTTCTTCGCTGGGACGGGGAGTCTTGGGGGTTGAACCATTTGTGTCGAGGGAGAAGGTACGCGGGGCGGTGTTCTGGCCGTTTGAGGCCGGTTGAGTGGGTTGCGAGGATGTTCCCGCGTCGCCAGTCCGCAATGCTTGGAGACCTTACTCAGGCTGTCGAGTCACTGAAGCAGTTGCGCAAGGACGGCGGTTCCAATCGTCGTCGTTTCCTCGCTTGTCGCAGCCGGGTTGGTCTACGCTTTAGCCGTCCGATTCTTCTGACCACCAGATCCTCCGGCCATTCTCACACGCGAGCGTGTGCCGGACGCCACTTTCCGTTCGTCGAAGACTTCGGAGGTGGCAGTGCGAAGGATTCCCGAGTCGCTCTCATACCATGTTACGATCAGAAAATGATCGACCGCAGGATCACCTTGGGAAGGTTCCCACACAATTGAGTAGAGATGGTGTGCCCTTAACCTCAATAGCAAAGTGAATGTAAAATGCTTGAGATGGAATATAACATGCAAATATAGAAGTATAAATATGATTACAGGGGAATTCGAATCGACCTAGCTAGCCATGTACTCTAAGGGGTACATTTCCTTATTCGAATTCAAACCAACCGTGCGACTCGAACAGTTACGAAACTGTTCCCGCCAATTCCCTCGAACTTGCAGCTGCCCGATGCCGTCTTGCTCCGACGTTCCAGATCTTTCCCAACCGTCCGTCTCGCTTCGAGTCAACTTTGACTCTTCGTGTTCATCCCTGATATCGCGTGTTTCGCTTGGCTGCGGTTAGGAGTGCACAATAGTATTTCCACTATTCGTAACAGGCATCCCCAAGATCCTGCATCACCTCATGCTGGTGCCCCTGTAAAGAAAACCCAAAATGCATCCTCGTCGCATCGACCAGCATCTTCTCCTCCCTCGCGTATCTTCACAGCCTTGCCCTCAAGTACAAAATCGTATCTGCCACCAGACCTTGCGTTTGCCTTGACATCTGCTTCCACAACCCCCCTAACCCCAGGCTGCGACACCAAGTGGCCCATGAATCTTCATAGCCCTAGTCCATATCTCATCCCCATCTGCCCTTGCAGGCGAACCCAAATCACGAACTAATGGTATATAATCCCTTATGGGATCAGTCGACAACCCGCCTCTAGCACCATCAGAAGCAGCGACTGCAATACCTGGGCCTCGTCGAACCTTGTGCTCACCCTCGTCGACCTAGAGTAGAAGGTATGCTCCGTGCACCTCCTATTGAGCGCCTTGAAAGCATCATGCATCTCGAAGTTTGTAAGTAGGTGCATTGCCATCCCGTTGTCCTATGTCACTCCCAACCTTGAGGATTTGCCGAAGGCTGGACTCTCGATCATATTTTGATCCCTAGCCAAAACTGGGTGGTCCGTGCTCGAGATACTTTGAACAAACGCTTGAAAAGACTCTCCTATGAAGGCCCACCTTTCCACATGTTTGTGTTGGAAACTTTTGGCCACCACTCGGACCGACAAATCGCCCCAAACTAGACACGCCTGCACCAAGCGCCCTGTCTGATAACACTCAACATTTTCCGCCCTTGCTCCTTCCTTCAAACATAGCACGATGCCCCTCCCACCTTCTGTGATGGCGGCACAGCCACCATCGCCTGCAATCAGGCCTCCGTCTAGAAATTATGGACCTCTGCAATTCTCGTATCTACCAGCACGATCACATCCACTAGATCATTCTACCATATTTTTAGCTTCAGTCGATTTCTAGAACTTCCTAGCCCATTCACATTCAGGCTCGACAAGGTGATCTTGTCGGCATTGTTCATTGGTCAACATGTTGCCAGCCCCCTTGCATCCACAAGGTACTTTATCGGTGAGATCCGAAACCTTCTCATTATAAGACCGCCATTGGCTCAAACATTTAGTCCCCCCACACTCCCTTGCGATCCCCCTAAAACCCGTGACGAAAGGCTAAGATGGCTGGATATGCATTTTAAAGAGGTGCTTTTAGCGAGCTTTGCTTATATCGAGATGTGGCTATACGGACGAGGATGTATTTATACCAAGTTGTATTTTTAATAAGGTGGGTGTGTGTTATGAGGTGTACTTATAGTGAGTTTTTTAATGTGTGGTTAGAGAGATATAAAGAAAGGCCAAGATTTATGGATCTGCTTTTGCTTCTGTTGCCTCATCACCGAGTTTCCAAGGGGTAAGCAGCAGCACATTTTGTGTCCGTTACCCGTTTCTCTGGTTTCTTTCAGTTCCTCCTGTTGTCATCTGTTTCTATAAACCATGTGTTTCTTCTTCCTTTGTTTGATAGCCTCCCTATGAGTCCTTTTGCAGCTGTGCATCACACGAGCTGCCTATTTGGAGCACGGGCCAGCATGTTTCGAGTAATGCAACTCGGATGAGGACGAGTCTTGTCTGTTGGATTTGGGTCGAATCTATACTCGTCTCCACTGCAATTGGGATGATGGGTACCTCTTTGCATCGATTGGCTGACTAATTTGAACTCAGCGTGTCGCATTTATCTCTTTGCTCTTCCCTTTCCCTCCGCATCCAACAAGAGGTGTGCACCAAAAGGGCTGCTTACTTGGAGCACGGGCCCTAGTGTATGGAGAATAAACAAGATGATCAGTGCCTACTTGCCTAAACTGTTGTTCTGAACTTGTTGTGGCTTGTTTCTCTCTTTCTCTCTTCACCCATGCCAGGTCTGCACCACACGAGCAGCTTATTTGGAGCGCGGGCCAAATGTGTGCCAAGAAAACAGAATTATCGATGCCACCTTGTCATAATGCATCTCAATTGAAACATATAGGTTTAAGGGTGTCTTTTCTTATACGCGTATGTACTACCACTCCAGCTATGTTCCTGGTAGAAGAGAAGGCCTTGTTTAATCGGGTTGATAAGGCTTCTTTTCTACTCTGCTCATGTTTGTTGACTTCATTTGCGCCGTTTGATAGCAATAAAGTCCAGTGGTAACACAGCCTCAACAAATTTCATGGCTGGCTCGGAGAAAGTTTCCGCTGCTGCAAAATCACGTGTGAACACCATGCGACACTAAGTGAACCTGAATTAAAAACCCAAGTAGGTGTGGTTCAACAAAGACGTTGGTTTGCTCTTTCTCGCTCCACATCACTCACCAGACGTCGTCGCCGCCCGGTCAAGCGATAGTATTCCAGAGGCAAAATAGACTCCATTTATGCCTGCAGAACCAACACAAACGACCATGTTGACACTTATGAGGGGTAAACCTGTAGGGCAGATGGAGTCTACAATAATTGATTCCCAACCCGAATCTGACACAAACGATGGACTTGGGTAGTAACTACAATAGAATACCAAATTGTTTTGTTTCGTTTTGTTTGCTTGTTTGGTGGTGATGGTGGTGGTGGTGGTGGTGGTGGTGTTGTTGTTGTTGTTGTTGTTGTTGTTGTTGTTGTTGTTGTTGTTGTTGTTGTTGTTGTTGTTGTTGTTGTTGTTGTTGTTGTTGTTGTTGTTGTTGTTGTTGTTGTTGTTGTTGTTGTTGTTGTTGTTGTTGTTGTTGTTGTTGTTGTTGTTGTTATTCTTATTGTTGTTGTTATTCTTATTGTTGTTGTTGTTGTTGGTTTTTTTTTTTGGTAAAATCAGGGTTCAGACAATACATGATCAATTCTAGCTGGTGTAAGAGTACAACGATTTCGCTAGACTTTACTTGCTTGATTTTGCTTTATTATGCTTTATCTAGCTTAGATGTATTCTATCTTGCATGTTTTTGCTTAATTTCCTAAGTTCGTTGCTTTACTATGTTTATTATAGTTATAGGCACCGAATCAGGTTGCGTGCACCAAATTCAGTGCAGTTCTGTTCACACTGAACATCTTCTACCGAATTTGGGAAGGATCCCAACGGGACGCTTCGCGATGTCGGAACCTTCATGTAACAATCCTGGTTACCGTCCTTGTGTCATGCCTATATATAGCCACGTCCTTGTATCCAGGATTCATAATCTATTTTCTGAACCGATTCCTCTATCCTCACAGCTGGTGCCTTGGAAATTTAGGATGCCAATAATGTTTTGTTCTAAAAAAATCAGGGCACTTATTTTTATAATCTTGAAAACCTGCCCAAAGGGCTCAGGATGCCTAAAATCCTAGCAAAGGCCGTGCTCAGGAGGCAGAACGCGCTGGGTAGGCCAAAATGGAGATTTTTTCATCGTGTGTGACTTCAACTTCAAACTGCACACGTTTGCATTATTTTCTTGACTACGGGTTTATTACAGTCACGGTGCGGTCCATTTCTATAGCTGCACATTGTAGTCCAAATCAAATTAGATTGTGAGGGCATCAATTTGCATATAGCCCATAGTGACCCAAGGATATGAAACCCTAGGGGCCAGGTGTCAAATGTTGTAGCCTATAGTGAGGTTTGTCTTAGGGGGTACAAAACTTAGGGTTAGCTATATGTACCCCAACCAACATCAATGCACCATCCATTCTTCATTCTGACATGGTATCAGTTAGGTTAGGATCCTGTGGGATCCCGTTCCTCCGTTCTCCGTTCGAGCCTCCCGAGCCTGATCCTAGCTCTCATTCGTCCCGGTTTCGTTGTTACCGCGCGTAGTGCCGCGCCTAGCGCCACTCCTAGCGTCGCGTCCTGCCCGCCCTTTCCCCCTCGTCGCGTCCCTTTCCCCCCGTCGCGTCGCGCCCTTTCCCCCCAGTCGAGTCGCGCCCTTTTCCCCCCGTCGCGTCGCGCTCTTTCCCCCCGTCGCGTCGCGCCCTTTCCCCCCGTCGCGTCGCGCCCTTTCCCCCCGTCCCGTCGCCCTTCCCCGTCCCGTCGCCTCTGCTCCGTCGCGTCGCCCTGCCCCGTCCCGTCGCCCTGCCCCGTCCCGTCGCCCTGCCCCGTCGCGTCGCCCTGCCCCGTCCCGTCGCCCTGCCCCGTCCCGTCGCCCTTCCCCGTCCCGTCGCCCTGCCCCGTCGCGTCGCCCTGCCCCGTCCCGTCGCCCTGCCCCGTCCCGTCGCCCTTCCCCGTCCCGTCGCCCTGCCCCGTCGCGTCGCCCTGCCCCGTCGCGTCGCCCTTCCCCGTCCCGTCGCCTCTGCTCCGTCGCGTCGCCCTGCCCCGTCGCGTCGCCCTGCCCCGTCGCATCGCGCCCGCCCTTTCCCCCGTCCCGTCGACCCTACGCCCTGGCCCGTCGCCCTAGCCCGTTCTTCCGCTGCGACTAAGTCCCCCCACCTGAACCCTAATTTGCCTCTTACCTCCTGCTGTTACTCGCCTGCTCGTTCGCGTTCGTTCTCGCTATGGCGACTCCGCGAGTTCTTCGTTTCGACCCTGACGGTAGACCTCTTGACTTCTCCGTCTGGCTTCTTCGCGCTCGCCGTCTGTTAGAGAGTCAAGTCCAGGGGGGCGAGACCCTCTGGTCGCACGCTACTGGTGACCTCCCCGAGCCCCCCGAGCCTGCCGCTTTAGGTCCTGCCCCTGACGATGCTGCTACGGCTCGCTTTGCCCGTCAGCGCGCTGACAGGACGGCTTGGACGTCGCGTGACGCTGCGGCCTGCATCGCACTCAGCAGCCTCCTCCCTGAGTCAGAGGAGGTCCACTTCACTCAGGTTCGCACCGCTGCTGCGTACCTCACTGCGATTAAGGCCCGCTACTCTACTCCCGCTACTGTCTCTCTTGGCCGTCTTTTCCTCCCGTTCCTGTTTCCTGATCTCGCCTCGTTTGAGCGCTCTGCTGACTTGATCGCTCACCTCCGCTCGCTCGACGCTAGTTACCGCGCTGCTTGCACTGAGGCACAGCTTGCACTGCTTCCTCCCCCTATGGCGATTACTATCTATTTCATCGCCACTAGCCTCCCTAACCGCCTTGCCTCCGTTCGCGACGCGCTTCTGCTGAAGCACCCTAGTGAGCTCACCGTCGATGTCCTTGAGTCTGCACTCAAGGACGTCGAGAGCAACCTTCGCTCGGTAGCCGCTGCCTCTGGTGCTGTGCCCCCCCCACTCTTCCACGGGTGCACAGTCCCGCAGTTACCCACCTTTACTGCCTCACTTGCCACTGCCGCTACTGACGCGACTGCAGCTGCTGTTACGACTGCGTCGCGGTCCCGCGGTAGGAGTGGCAAGAAAGGCGGTTCTGGTGGTGGTAGTGGAGGTGGAGGCGGAGGTAGTGGAGGTGGCGTTGCGCCTGGCGGCGGTGGAGGTTCAGGGCCTGGAGAGGCGCCTCGTGCAGTGACTGGTGACTCCACTGCGCCTGCTAGTGGTGGCGACGCCCGAGTTCGTCAGTTGCCTCCTGTACTTCCTGCCCCGGTTGGTGGAGCAGCGGCGTGGTACCAGGCTCAGCGTCAGCAGCAGCTTCTGCAGCACCAGCAGCCCCTCTCCTCCCAGCAGCCTCAGCAGCAGCAGCGGCAGCAGCTGGCTCCAGGGTCGGGGCTGCGTCAGACCCAGCGCGGTGCTGCTTACACTCCCTGCACCTACCAGGTTCTGACAGGCACTCGTCGTGGCCACCCTTGTGGCCGGTTTCACCCCCCTGGTCAGTGCTTTGCTCAGCTCACTGACACGGTTCGTTTGGTCTACGGGGTTGGTGCTCCTGCCCCTGACTGGCTGCCTCTTGTTCAGCGCTACGGCTCCGCTCTGTGGGGCATGTCTGCTGAGCAGTTAGTTGATCTGATTGGTACTCCCCATGCTATGTATGCTGTTGTTGACTCTAGTGTTTCTGACTCTGCTTACTCTGGTGTTGTTAGCTTAGGTGCTAGCCTTGCTCAGTTGCCTGTTGCTAGTGTAGGTTCTTGTGTAGACTCTAGTCCAGCGGCTACCTCAGAGGACGGTTCGCTGTCGTTCACGCTGGACTCTGGAGCCTCTCACTGCTTCTTTCGTGACAGCACGACACTTACGCCTCTTCCTGCGCCTGTTTCTGTGGCGCTGGCTGATCCCACTTCGGGACCAGTCACTGCGCGTCACACTACCACCTTGCCGTGTCCGGCTGCTCCTTCTGGGTCTCTCACTGGGTTTCACGTCCCCTCGTTCTCCCGGAACTTGGTGGGCGTGCGACCCCTCGTGAGTCAGCACGTGGGTGTGTGGTTTGAGCCTTCTGGAGAGACTGCGGTGTGTGTTGACGGGGACTCTTACCAGCCCCTCGCCACTTTTGCTGCTGAGCCGGGCTCCGGTCTCTACACTCTTCACACTGGCCCGCGCGCTCAGCAGCGACTGCAGCAGCAGCAGCAGCCGCAGCAGCAGCAGCAGCAGCCGCAGCAGCAGCAGCAGCAGCAGCCGCAGCAGCAGCAGCGGCAGCAGCCGCAGCCGCAGCCACAGCGGCCGCCGTCGCAGCAGCCACTCCTCCCAGTTCCTGTCCCTCCCCCTAGTCTCCTCCCTGCGTCTCACCAGGTGGTTCCGTCCCCTCAGGTTGTCGCGTCCAGTCCAGTCGCTGCGTCTTGCTCCTGTCGGTCGCTTGCCCACCCCACCGTTCTGTGGCACCACCGGATGGGACACCCTTCTCTTCCACGTCTGCGTGCTATGTCTAGTCAGCGTCTGGTCTTAGGTCTCCCGCGTGTCTTGCCGTCGCTGCCGCCGTCTCTTGCACCACCGTGCGGTCCTTGCGTCGAGGGTAGGCTGCGTGCCACCCCTCACTCCTCCTCCCTTCGTCCGGCCACCGAGCCTTTTGAGACGCTGCACTTGGACGTCTGGGGCCCCTCTCCTCGCCCTGGCCCTGAGCGTGAGCGTTTCTTTTTTGTGGTCGTTGACGACTACTCCCGCTACACCACAGTGTTCCCCCTGGCGAGGAAGTCTGAGGTGACTTCTACGCTGATCAGGTGGTTGCTTACCACCCAGGACACTCGTGGTCGTCGTGTCAGCTGTCTCCACTCCGACCGCGGGGGCGAGTTTCGCTCCGGCATTCTCGCTGGATTCTGTCGCGAACAGGGCATTCGTCAGTCCTGGACGCTTCCAGAGTCCCCACAGCAGAATGGGGTTGCTGAGCGTCGCATAGGCCTGGTCATGGAGATTGCCCGCACCTCCTTGACTCACGCCCGTGCCCCCCATTTCCTGTGGCCATACGCAGTCAGGTACGCCGCGCACCAGCTGAACCTCTGGCCACGCGTCTCTCGGCCGGAGGCTTCACCGACCAGTCTTTGGACAGGGTCCCCTGGTGTCGCGTCGAGGTTTCGTGTCTGGGGGTGCTTGGCTCTTGTCCGCGACACCTCCGCGGACAAGCTCTCGCCTCGCGCCGTTCCTTGTGTCTTCCTTGGTTTCCCTGAGGACTCCTCTGACTTCACCTTTTACCACCCTCCCTCTCACCGGTTCTTTGACTCCCGTGACGTCCGTTTCGAGGAGTCCACCCCCTACTACGTCAGGTACCCCAGTCGAGGTCTCCCGGTTCCTCCGCACCCCCTCTTCCTGACAGCCGCTCCCCCGCCTGCTCCCCCGGTACAGCCTCCCCCCCCTGGTCCAGCCCCGTCTGGTGTGTCTCAGGCTAGCCCTCCCCCTTCGGTAGCCCCCCCTGTACAGCCTCCCTCCCCACAGTCTTCCTCGCCGCCTCCTGCAGGTGCTCCCTCTCGAGAGGTTGGTCCGGCGACTGTCCCTGTACAGGTCTCTGGTTCTGGGGGTGCTGGAGTTGGAGCTGAGCCGCGGGTTGCAGAGGACTCTTGTCTTCCGGGGGCTGGTACTGGTCGTGCGGAGTCTGGGGGTGCTGCGTCTGGGGGTGAGGGTGTCCCTTCGGTTTCTGGAGGGCCTGGGTCTGGAGCTGGTGTTGGTGCTGCCTCTGGGGGTGGTGTGCTTGGTGCTTCGGAGGTCGACTCTGGGGCTGCCGCTGCCCCGGACACTACTCCTTCCCCCCACCCCTACCCGACCAGGTTCCAGGCTCGTGTTCGTCGTGCTCGTGAGGAGCAGCTGGAGTTGGAGAGAGAGGAGAGAGAGTTGCAGCGGCTCGAGGAGCAGGAGCGACAGCAGCAGGAGCAGCAGCAGGAGCAGCAGCAGGGGCAGCAGCCGCTGGAGCAGCAGCAGCCGCAGCAGCAGCAGCTGCCGTCTCCTCCTCCTGTCTCGGGTCTTCGGACCCTTGGTCTCCCCTCTCCCTCTCCTTCCTCCTCCCCCTCTCCTCCCGTCTCTGGTCCTCCGCTTCCTCCTCCTGACCCCTCTCCCGCTGTTTTCCCTCGTTCTCAGTCTTCGTTGTCCCCTCCTCCTTCTCAGACTTGGGCCTCTCGTCGCTCCCCTCGTGCTCGTCCCTCGTCTCCTGTTCCCTTCACTGACCTTCGTACTGCCTTACTTCGTTCTAGTCCACCTCGTCCGTCTCCGTCTGTGCTTCCGTCTCCTCCTGAGTCGGCTCTCACTGCGTCGCTCCCTACTCCTGTCACTGACTACTACCGCACGTACCGTCCTCTTCTCTCTCGTGTTCTCGCCTCACTTGTTACTCACCCTCGTGCCTCTGTGTCCTCTGTGTCCGCTCTTACTGCCGCAGTCACTGAGTTTGCCTCTACCCGCCGCCTTGACTTCGCCACCGCTCTTGTGGCTGCTCCTCCTTCCAGTCCTCTGGCCGTCGGGGGTGTGTCTGCCCTTGGCAGTGACGCCCTAGAGGACAGGCAGTTTGAGCTAGAGTTCCTGGCCGCCGCTTCCCCTCATCTCTGTGCCATGCTCCTCGCCCCTGAGGGTGACCCCGACGCCCTTGACATTCCGACTCCTCGCACTTACGCTGAGGCAGTGTCAGGGCCTTGGGCCTCTCAGTGGAGAGCTGCCATGGACGCAGAGATGGCCTCCTACAGATCCACAGGCACCTACGTCGATGAGGTTCCCCCTCCGGGGGCGAACGTAGTTGACGGCATGTGGATCTACAGGGTGAAGCGGCCACTGGGATCTCCTCCGGTCTTCAAGGCGCGCTACGTGGCTAGAGGTTTCAGTCAGCGCGAGGGAGTTGACTTCTTTCAGACCTTCGCGCCCACCCCGAAGATGACCACTCTTCGGGTGTTACTACACGTAGCAGCACAGAGAGACTACGAGTTACACTCTCTCGACTTCTCTACTGCTTTCCTTCAGGGCAGTCTTCACGAGGAGGTCTGGTTGCGTCGTCCCTCTGCCTTCACTGGCTCTTTCCCTCCTGGGACCCAGTGGAGGCTGAGGCGACCGGTTTACGGTCTTCGTCAGGCTCCTCGTGAGTGGCACGACACTCTGCGTTCTACCCTGTCTGACCTTGGGTTCCAGCCGTCTTCTGCTGACCCGTCGCTGTTCGTTCGTCGTGGCACCACACCTTTCTTTGTTCTGGTCTACGTTGACGACCTTGTTTTCGCCACCCCTGACAGGGTTGCTTTGGCACACGTGAAGTCCGAACTGCAGAAGAGACACACCTGCACTGATCTTGGTGAGCTGCGCCACTACCTTGGCCTGCAGATCACCAGGGACAGAGCTGCTCGCACCATTACACTTTCACAGTCGCACATGGTGCAGCAGGTCCTTCAGCGGTTCGGGCTTCAGCACTCCACAGTACAGCGCACACCTCTTGCTGTTGACCACAGACTCACTGGACCCTTTCCTGACGAGCCGTTCGAGCCTAGTGGTCCCTACGCAGAGCTTGTGGGTTGCCTCATGTACCTGATGACTTGTACTCGCCCGGACCTCGCCTTCCCTCTCAGCGTTCTTGCGCGCTTTGTTGCGCCAGGGAGACACCGTCCTGTTCACTGGACAGCAGCTGTGAGGGTGGCGAAGTACCTAGCGACGACGTCAGGCGTGGGGCTAGTTCTTGGAGGGCAGCAGTCTGTCGTACTTACTGGTCACTGTGACTCCTCTTACGCTGACGACGCTGAGACTCACAGGTCTACTCAGGGGTACTGTTTCAGCCTGGGTTCTGGAGCTGTTTCCTGGCGGTCCACGCGCTCCTCTTCGGTCTCGACCTCTACAGCTGAGGCTGAGATCTACGCTGGTGCCATGGCGGCACAGGAGCTGCGTTGGTTGACCTTCTTGCTCGCCGACCTTGGTGAGCGGCCGAGCTCTGCACCGACCTTGTTCACTGACAACAAGGCGTCTATTCTCCTTTGTCGAGAGCCACGACTGGAGAGCAGAGTGAAGCACATTCACGTCAGGTACTTTCTTCTGCGAGAGTTGCAGAGGCGTGGACAGGCTCGCTTTGAGTTTGTGGAGTCCGAGGCCAACACTGCAGACATCTTCACCAAGGCGCTTCCGCCTTGTGACCACCAGAGGTGCTGTGTGCAGTTAGGCCTTGTTGACACTGGTTCTCGTGTTGCTTAGACTTGAGTGTACTGTTTACTTTGCTTTCTATATATCTCTGTTACTTCTTGGACTGGCCTTGTGGCCACTGTTGTTTGTGCTCAGACTGTGTGGTGACGTTGTGATCCACCCTGAGCTTTGTTTCTTGGACTGGTCTTGTGACCGTACTCGTTTGGTTCTGCTAGACACCCCTCACTTAGGCTATGGGGGTGTGTCAAATGTGGTAGCCTATAGTGAGGTTTGTCTTAGGGGGTACAAAACTTAGGGTTAGCTATATGTACCCCAACCAACATCAATGCACCATCCATTCTTCATTCTGACACCAGGGCCAATTCGAGAAACTGTGTTGGGACCCCACTCCATGAACAAATTGCAATCGAACGTGTCAGAATTCCAGTTAGTAGACCACCGGGATAGAAAGGCTTTTTTTTCCAAATGCGGGTCCATGCGCCCAAATCCCCTTAGGCAGGGCCTATTTTTTAAGACCAAAATTATCTGATTTTCTTATATACAAACCTGTTTTTTGTTTTGCTGTGTTTGAATTTCCAGACTTTCCATTTTCCCAAGTCTGAATTTCTGACAAAATTATATGAGCAATTCTGAAATTCAGACAACCTCTAGTCAGACTCGCCCCAATCACGCATTTCTCAGTGTAAGGCGAATTCGTATTGGACCTGTTTTTAGTGTTGCAACGTGCGTGAAAAAATCTAGCCTGGATGATGTCGCACGTGGATTGCGAACAGCTATCCTGTACTGCCCAAACATTGGGGCAAGGGAGCTCAGTTTGAGAAAAAAAAAAAAACGTCAGGAACTGAATTTTTCATTGTGGCATCCCAGAGAATATTGAACAAATCACTGGTGCCACCGTACAAATGTTGCACGCTGAAAAAAAAAATGTAGCCCCATTCTCGACAAAACAGACCTCTGTTTGCACATGTTGAGCGCAGGGTCTCGGTGTGGTTTGCTGATGTGGCATGATTGAAAGGTTTCGCGCACGCGGATTCAAATCGCACTTTACAAGTATGAAATTTGGTATTTATAACAAAAATCTCGAGTTTGCACAAATCTGATGTGGGGTCGGCCTGATAAGAGGCCGTAGGAACACGCTCTAAGATTATCAGCTCTGAATCTTCAGACCACTATCACGATTATGGCGGGTTGTACACCAACTAGTCTGATTTCAAAATCCGAGGTATAATGAGCCATACGTAGAAAATTAGTAGGTCTAAAAATCACACCAAACAAAATTTTCGGGTTCGAAATTTGTGACTCTCTCAGAATGCCTAAAACGAACAGAGCCATCCGGATTTTTGGATTGAATGGGTGTGTTGACGACTTGGCCGTCGCTCGTGACATACGTGCCGTTTGAATAGTACTTGGTGGTACCAATAGTCACACTCCCGTCAGGGTTTGCAGTCACGGTGACGCCGCCAGAACCAGCGTTGAACGCGGGGGGTAGCGACACCATCAGACCGCCAGAGGAGCCAGTCATCGGCGGGCCCGGAATCTTCGGCGGGGCCGGAATCTTCGGCGGGCCCGATGGATCGACAATCCTGCCGTCGCTGGTAACATATGTGCCGTTTGGATAGTAGATGATGCCGTCGATAATCATACTCCCGTCAGGGTTGAAAATTATCCAGTAGTCGGCGCGAGAGTCTGAAGTGCCAGGAGCGCCTGGAGCGTTTGGAGGGCCAGTGCCTGGAATGCCGCCGGAAGCGCCTGGACGCCCCATATAATCAGTAGGAAGAGCACCTTCAGCTGGCTGAATAGGTGTGCAAGCAACCACGAGGAGTACGGACGCTGCGAGAAAGAGTCTGGGAGGACCAGCCATGGTACTGGAGGGCTGCTTCCGAAGTGATACAGGTCAGGAAAGGAATTGACCTGGAGTGGCAGATAACTTGGCTCAGTTGGTTCCTGGAAGCTCTGCCGCCGAAGCTCCGGGCCAGCTTCGAAGCTCAGGACGCGGCACCTGCAGCACCGACCCTGCGATCGAACCTACAGGGTCGAAATCTTGCGGAGTTAAAAATGGTGTTGGGAATTTTAAATGCTCTCAGAGGATTTCAGTGCGGTGCAATCAGCGATCCTGCGATCGATCTTGCAAAAAAGCTAGAGGTGCCGCGTCCTCAGCTTGCAAACACCTCGGGCACACAGACAACTCTTGTGTGCTTGACCGATTAATGTTTATTGGATGGGTACTTGCGGGAACCAGAATTTGACGGCTATTGTTATTGGATTTGTAGGTTACAACACAAAAAATTCCTTTCCTTTCCTATTTTTGCTTCGCACAGTAGCGGAATTGAGCAGGCTAGGTACAGAATTGAACGGCGTTCAGTCCAAGTGACAACGCAGAAACAAACTCGGAAAATATCTCAGAAAATCTGGATATATTTTGTTCTTTTTGAGGGGGGCGAGGGAATACTCCCGAATGTGGGCTTGATGTTGCCATTGTGTGTCGCCGTAGAGTACTTAGCAGTTTCAACCATAACGAGCCATACAAATGCCCGAGGGGTACCCCAAAACAACGAGCGAGATACGGTTCGGCAGCTTTCCAGCGCTGTGCGACGTTTCGCCACGGTGAACCGTCGTCACGTCACGTCGGTTGGGGCAACACGTAATGGTGGGTACACCAATCAAAATCACCTTCGCATGTGAAATTCGCACGATTGATTACCGTGGGTGGCATGTATCAACACGATGCGATGCGATGCGACATCGCACACGTGCATAGTGAATTACCTTCCGTTACACGCCGTGTATCCTCCCATTTCTATCTGACTTAATCTGAAGCCCCCCACGTCATATATTCCGAAATTTCGTTCAATCAAACTAAATGAAGATATCGCTAGTGATATTGCTATTTCGCTACACAGGTTTTTACAATACAAATGCTTTTAACAATAAATTCTCCCTGACGCCAAACCTCGCTGCCATCACACTCAAATCTTTGTACCAGGCTTCAAAGCTGTACCCTTGGATTCAGTGCTGCATTAGAAAAGCCTGAGTGATGAACCAATAATACATGAAAGTGAAAGAATTACAACTAATGTACTCAAAATTGCATTGCAATGGTGCAGGTCAATCAACAGCCACTGGTATAGCGGCGCCTCCTAGACGGACTTGACAGCGACGATAGCGAGTGGCGGGCCGAGGCGAGCAGTGCTGATGAGAGCGACGGGAAGGCTGCAGCAGCAGCCACACCTTTAGGCACCGTGTCCCCCACACCCCAGGTCGCATGAATAGCAGCAATGGCATCATTCGAAGCAGCCTGACTGGTATGGGCACGACCTGTTCTGTCAGTGTCTTTCCCTGCGCTCTGGACAAACGCCTCGCTGGGTTGGGCGCGGCCCACAGGCTCGGAAGCTGCACTCCCAGCCCGGAACCTCGCACTCTCTTCTCTCGCCAGCTGGCAAAACAGCGCCACCGCTTCCTCGGGAGTATCCTGCACAACCCCATGGCCGATATTCAGCACGTGGCGCGACCCTCCGCCCTGCTTGATACACTCCGCTACAGCCTCCCTCAGATATTCCCTAGGTCCCAGCAATGCCATTGGGTCCACATTCCCCTGCAGCACCACGCCTTCCCCAAACAGCCTCCGCGCCTCACTCATATCGCACCCCCAGTCCAGCCCGACTATGTTTGCGGGGCAGTTTTCGGCGATGAGGTGGAGTTTGCCCGTGCTGCCAATGGTTTGCAGGAGGACGGGAGCGTGCGGACGGGCGGATTGGATGCGCGAGACGAGGCGGTTGGTGTAGGGCAGGGAGAAGGCGGCGAATTGCTGTGGGGAGAGGTGGTGCGCCCACGAGTCGAACACTTGGATGATCTGATGAGAGAGACGAGGGACAGCAGGAGGGAAGAAAAGGATGTTAGGGTTAGCTGCTAGGGGAGATAAGGCAGGCAGGGGGAAGGTGAATTGAAGTGAGGATGGAGTGATACACTCGAGTTCAACACGTATGAATTAATTTGTCCGGCAAGGAGTAGAAAGAAAGGGAATCAACTAAGATCTCGACTCACAGAACGAATTAAGACACCAGCCGTAATTACCTGCGCGCCGCAGTCAATCTGGTGGACGGCGAGGGCGAAAAGGGCATCCTCGAAGAAGGCGAGAATGTCGTGCAGCAACTCGGGGTCTGCACGCGGTAGACAAAAGGCCAAGGGGGTTTCAAGGGTGGATGGTATGAGAGCGCGAGAGAGGAAGAAAGAAAAGCAGAATTGGGAGGGGGTTGCGCAGAGGGGAAAAGAATGTAGAAACTCGACAGCCGATCCTAAATACACAACACGGCCACAACACGTACCGTGCATCATCATCAGCTTCGTGAGGAACAGGTTCTGGTCCGCTTGCCCCTCCACTGCGTGCGCCACCACGCTCCACGGCGCTCCCACGAACCCCATCACCGCCGCCCCGCCGTCCCTGTCCCCGATACTGTCGCATCCGCTACTGTCCCTGCTGTTGCTGGTGGCGGTGGCGGCGGCGGCGGCGGCGGCGGCGGCGGCAGCGGCGGTTTCGCGCCTGAGAGCGTTGAGCACGGGGCGGAGGTACGGCAGCTGCGAGTCCGGGTCGTCCAAAGGCCTGCAGAGACGAGAGCGGTACGGAGAGGGAGAGAGAAGCAGCACGGGGAGAGTGCGAGTTGCATTGAGGCGCCGTTGCAGAGAAAACAAGGTACAATGGCATATCTCAACCTATCTCACCCTATCGACAACAACCTTCTTCTCCCTGGAACTTGCCTCAGTCTCACGAGGTCTTCCCTCGATCGAACGGGTGTAACGACGACAGCGCCTCTCCCTCGCATCATGTCGAACTCGAGCCCTACGCCCGGCAACATGACCTATCCCACCCTATTGACACCACGACCTTTTCTATCGCAACCTACCTTAAACGCATGAGGTCCTCGCGCGATCGCACGGGCGTGGCGACGACAGCGCCCCTCCCCCGCACCATGTCGAACTCGAGACCCACGCCCGGCAGCACGGCCAGCACGTCCGAAAACAGCACCACCGCGTCCGTCGCGAACTTTCGCCACGGCAGCAGCGACAGCTCGGTTACCAGCTCGGGGTTCTCGAGACGATCCCTGAATGAATAACCTTCTGAGAGCCTGCGGAGAATGACCCGGAGAACCAACCGGGAAAAAAAAAAAAAAAAAACTCAATACAAATAAAAAAAAAACGCTGCAGCAAAGAGAACGGAAATCGACTTGGGTAATGTGCATTCACGCAGAAACCGGGAGCAGCATCTGTGCGTGAACGGCTTATCGCGCAGCGAAAGAGAAACCAGCAATCAGTGGTCGGTGTGAACGGAGCGTGCACTATGCACACAAAAGTTACACTGGCTGTGGGAGCTCGGCTCAGGACGGCGCTCACCTTCTGAAGTCTTCCAGGTAACGGCCTGACTGGCGGAGCAACCAGACTGGCGTACGCTCCGCTTCTGCAGCACGGAAGGAAAAAAGTGAAGACAAACCGCGCACGCACACGCAAAATGATGTTGCAGATAAGTACAACGAATAGTCATGACCAACCGGGCATGACGGAGCACATTATTTCCCCGCTCGAAACGCGCATACAGACTCGGTACTCGAGCACAGGTGGGTCTGCGTACCTTCGCCTCGAGCCACTCGCAGCAACAGCGGATCTTTCGCGACGTCCTTCCGCTCCGTTATATTCCCACGAGATACAGGACGTTCTGACGCGTTTCCACGCGATGGAGGTCGCTGTGAGGCGTTTCCGCGTGATGGGGGTCGGGAAACAGGTCGCAATGCAGACGGCTGAATCGGTTGGTCTACTTCCGTGGAAAGCATGGGCTGCCATTCTGGAGTGGCGATTATAGACGTCTGCCTTGCTGACGTGGATTGAGTCGCAGCGTGGGAATCTCGGATTCTGTCGCTACTGCTCCCGGCGAGAGGCGAGTGGGTAGCCTGAACGGGTACGATGAACCTGGACGGCGATCGCATTCCCTGGTTGCTGGGCGCATCGTATGTTGCAATGTCGCCAGAAACAAGGGACTGGGACCAGCCCAGTGTAGGAGCGAGCGCTAGAGAGGACATGCTGCACGAGCAGCTGGACTAATATTTTCTTTGACGAACTGCGACGGGGAAAGCTTCGAGTTGGACCACGATTGGTTAAAGCTGTGAAGTAATGAACTGACGGTGACACGGCTATCAGAGAGGAGAACGACTTAATGTAAGTCCCTGAGTAACGGAAGTGGGGGACTGATTTCGGATACGCAACTAATGAAGAATGAAACTGTGTGAAGAATGGAGGTACAGAGCAGCCTTATCAGAACACAGGCGCTTACTTGGATTGATGATGGCGGCGGGGAACATATGGAGGGAGGAGGGGTCAACCAACTTGAGGAAAGGCCGCCCAGGTTCGGCTTGGTAAGCTGGATCATGTGGGAGTGGGGGGAGAACGGAGGGAGGCCCAATCGAGAGGGCACAGGGGAGCCAGGGCGAAGTGGATGAGCCATTGGGATGGGAATGGATGATGCTCGCAAGCAGTCTTCTGAGTGTGTTCTGTATCGCGTACGAGGTAATGTCCCTGAAGTTCGTTCGTATGCGGCCCTGTGAGATTCCTGATGGAAAATCTCAAGCCTGACGACCCTCCGACGACTTGACGACATGCTGCCCCGGGCAGAAAAAAACTAAACCCCCATCGGATGGCATGCCATCCGAGGGAGCCTCAACCCTAAAATCCATGCCTCCCCGTGTTTAGGGTTGAGGCTCCCTGACCGGATGCATGCCCGAATGGGGTTTAGTTTTTTTTGCCCGCGGGCAGCGAGCTCCCCCGGGCGGACTCGCTTGTCCGCTGAGATATATCATTCGGTTTAGCGAAGTCGAAATTGGTTATAAAACGTTTCTGTACGGTAGGAGTACACTGAACGATTGTGATGAACGGGGTGACCCGACGGAATATCCCAGCGGAAACGGGTCGACGGGTCACCAAATCACGCCTCGGTTCGGAAGTGGTGAGGGGGGGGGAAGAGCGGGAAAACCAGGTTGCGGCGGTACATTACATACAGCGCGCTGGGCGGGTACTGTAAAAATTTGCAGAGCAGACCACAATGGCTCTAATCACGCGATCCCTCGCGACTCGTCGACTGGGGTCCGTCATGCTAACGACGCTTGTTTAGGTGATTTCGGCGTCATGCGACGGCAGCGACAGTTCGGCGTCGTGGAAATCAACATTCGGCGACTGGTCGACCAAACCTCGACATCCTGTATGCGACGATCACAGCCACAAACTAGGCATATGCTTGTCACCTGAGGCTGGGCGACTGATGTTTCAAATCCATTTTGCGACTGTCACAACGACAAACTCGTTGGTGGATGCCCGTCGCAAGAGTTTGCCTCCTGAATTAACGGCACCGACATAATTAAGCCACCTTGACCTGACTGAACTCAAAAGTGTTAAGCCACGTGGAAGGTTGCCACTGACAGCTACTCTTGAGGAGAGCGCAGATGGCGCACAAGTTATCCATGTAAGATTGCCGATGATTGGCTGTCTTCCTGACACCCCCGCCAGTTTGAATCTCAATCACACTCAATCGAAGCGCCCGATACAGAACTCTCCACAAAAGAGGGAGATGGGTGAAATCTCGATATGGAAGAACCCTTTACACAGTGATCTGTCAGGTCACGTGAAGCTACATGACATCCGTATATTTCGTTTCCAAATTAATTTGAGTGTACATCAATCCATACGAAATCCTGACATGCCCCAAACATCATACTGTATCCTGATTGTTTATGCTACAGTATGAGATTACTCAACGTAGAGAGAAATAAGGGACATAACATGACATGCAAAGTCTATTCATGATAGTAATTGTACACCTGGTAATCACTATACAAGAGATTGCCCTCCTCATCATAATGTAACAGGTGGTAACACTGCTCACACAAAAATGACGGGTCAACAGCGAGCAGCTTATCATGGTAAACCACTCGTGTGCTTGCATTCACATCGCACACGCTGCAGCGGCGCAGGTAGCAGTGGGGCTCGTGTGAGAGAAGGGGGTAATCGGACGCGTTTAGATGATCGAGAGGGTGTAGCAGGCGAATGTCTGTGATGCGAAAGGCATGCTTGCATGCACCCTGATGAGAGTAAGGGTGAATGGGCAAGCAAAGCAGAGCAAATGGGAATGAAACTGAGGTGTAAGGGTGAGCGAGAGGAGATATCAGGAAAAGACACCGTTTGCTGAAGGTTGCAAGGGAGAAGCGAACATGGAGGCAGGAAGGATTCAGAGAGGGAAAGCGACCATTTGCATATAACACACCTGGTGCACCAATAAGATTGTAACAGTTACCACTCCATCAGATCAAACTCACACCTGATACATGCATCACGTTGACCCATAAGGTGTACCTATACTTAACGTGCTTCTGGCTGCTCTAAAGTGCTTCAGCGCAATAACGCACCTGGTAACACACCTGGTAACATACCTGGTGCATTGGTAACACAGTAACACACACCTGGTGTATGTGGTAACACAGTAACGCACACTTGGTGCATGTGGTAACACAGTAACACACGCCTGGTGCATGTAGCATGGTAACGCACCTGGTGCATTCAACCCACGGTGTAACATGGTAACCCACCTGGTGCATGTACACATCGAGCGCTCCTGGCCGCACAGTCAGGTCTTTGAACCGTGTGACATGGTACATGGTAACCCACTTGGACTTGGTGCAAGTAACACGGTAACATGGTAACACACCTGGTGCATGTAACATGGTAACCCATGTGGTGCATGTAACATGGTACCCACCTAGTGCATGTAACACGGTAACACACTTGGTGCATGTTACATGGTAACCCACCTGGTGCATGTACACATAGAGCGCCCCTGGCCGCACTGTCAGGTCTCTGAACCGTGTCGTCTCCATTCTCGCAGCTGAATACTGTGGGGGAGGGGCGTCCCCTAGACTCAACCGCACCCTCTGCTGCTGGAAATGCTGTTGCTGAAAACAACTGTGCTGTTGGCCAGTCTGCTCTTGCTGCTCGGAATGCTCCTGAAACGTGAGGCTTGTTCCCAACGATCCCACTGATCCCATGCCACCCATGCCGCCCAAGGCGCCCATGGCCATGGCGCGCACGGGGGCGGGCAGCGGCAGGCGGGCGAGGGGGGTGTTGCGGCGGCGCTCCCTCTCGTCCAGCATCGACCATGCCGCCCGCTTCTCCCTGTTCCACTTGACGATCACCGCGCTGTACCGCACTGCACCGGGCTGCCGCATGTCGTCATAGAAAACGTCCTGGAGTGGGGAAGGGGAGCATGTGGGAGAGAAAAAGAGGAGGAAGAGAGGGGAAGTCAAGAGCCAGCAAGCCAAGATAGAGAGGCTCGTGTACATAATATGGCAGATCAATTCATCGCATCTATAGCACGATATGGTAAAGGATGCATATTCGAACAGTTTGATGCGCTGTGCAGACATGCAAATTGCCGCGGAGAAAAGCTCTGTTGCAAAGCTGTGAGCTGTGAGGCTTATGTATATATTCTCAATCGCTTTCGCACATATAACTGCACTGTAAAGGACGCTCATCCAAGCAGTTTGGTGCGCTGTGCAGCCATGCCAATTGCCACGGAGAATAGCTGCAAGGCCATGCTGTGAGCTGTGAGGTGCATTGCCATGCTGTGAGCTGTGAGCTGCATTGCCATGCTGTGAGCTGTGAGCTGCATTGCCATGCTGTGAGCTGTGAGCTGCATTGCCATGCTGTGAGCTGTGAGCTGCATTGCCATGCTGTGAGCTGTGAGCTGCATTGCCATGCTGTGAGCTGTGAGCTGCATTGCCATGCTGTGAGCTGTGAGCTGCATTGCCATGCTGTGAGCTGTGAGCTGCATTGCCATGCTGTGAGCTGTGAGCTGCATTGCCATGCTGTGAGCTGTGAGCTGCATTGCCATGCTGTGAGCTGTGAGGTGCATTGCCATGCTTTGAGCTGTGAGCTGCATTGCCATGCTGTGAGCTGTGAGCTGCATTGCCATGCTGTGAGCTGTGAGGTGCATTGCCATGCTTTGTTGCCAGCTGTGACAGTGAGGTGAGCACCAGTGAAGAAGGCATCGCCTCGCAGGAGAATGACACATGATGGAGAGGAGGAAGAATGACACATGATGGAGAGGAGGAAAAATGACACATGATGGAGAGGAGGAAGAATGACAACATGATGGAGAGGAGGAAGAATGGCATGTAGCACATCGCAGATGCTATTCGCCTACTCATGACACATCACCGAGAGGAGCAATAACGAGATTCGTACGCATCGCAGCAGCAATCTGCGAAGCGGAAATAGCATTCCTTATCCTAACCTCCTCCTGCCTGCCATTCCCCCCACCTCGATACGGAAGCACCTGGACAGCACGGACTTGCCATGCTCCCTGCGTTTCTGTCCCCGCACTCCCCTCTTGGCACCTCCAGTCCTCTCCCCCCCCCCCTCGCCCTCTCCCAGAAGGCACCGACTTGCCATGCTCCCTCTCAATCCTGTCCCCGCAGTTCCCCCTTCACTCTCCCCCTTTCCGAAGGCCTTCTATCTCCCCCCCCCTCGCCCTCACCTCAACACAGAAGCACCCAGACGGCACCGACTTGCCGTGCTCCCTCGCGATCCGGTCCTGCAGGCAGTAGATGCGATCCCTTAGGGCAGTGAGCGGCTGGCTTCCCAGCACCAGGAACTCCTGCCCCTGTTATGGCAAAACAGGCAAGGGAAGGGAAAGGGGCCAATGGGAGCGTGTGTCTTTCCTCCCTGGCGATCCGGGCCTGCGGGCCGAGCAGTACATGAGGTCCCTGCGGGCCATGCTGGGCAGTACATGCGGTCCCTCAGGGATGTGAGGGGTTGGCTTCCCAGCACGAGAAACACCTGACCCTGACATGGCAGAGCAAACAAGAGAAGGGAGGGGGCGAATGGGAGTGTGAGTCCGCCCGTTTGCTATCCCATTTGAAGGGGAAAATGGGCAAATGGGCAAATGGGATTGCAATCCTGACCTCACGCAGTAGATGGCGGTCCCTTAGGGAACTTTGGAGACGTCTCAAAAGCCGCCCTCCTTTGCAATCCTGACCTCACGCAGTAAATGGCAGTCCCTTAGTGAAGTGAGCAGCCGGCTACCCAGCACAAGAAACTCGTGGCCTTGGCATTTCAAGAGTTAGGGCGGAAACGAGATTTTGACTCACTTGGAGATGCTGCCGCTTCTCCAGCTGTGGCTGCTGCACTGCCGCCGCAGCACCATTTCATGACTCACTCACTACGAAACATGTCTCGCCCTCAGCTGTCTGTCCCCTATACAAGCCGGTTCAGGACTCACTTTGAGTTGCCGCTTCTCTTGCTGTAGCACCTCAACTCGCAGCACCACATCCTGCTGTGCCTGAAGCGCTCTGGAAGGCCCTGGAGTGAAGGAAAAGGCTCCCTGAAGGCATGCACAAGGGGGGAGGGTAGAGGGGACCATAAGGAGAAGAGGAGGTTAGTATGGAAGACAACCCCTTGCAGCAGGAGGGCTGGGAAAAGAAACACGCACCACGGGTATCTTGGCAAATATGAGATTTGGAATGTTGGTCTGGGCGAGAGGTGGTTATTGACTTTTGAGTCGACTCAAAAGCAAGGGGGCGCATGAGCAAAGAGAGCTCACCGGTATTTTAGCAAAAATGAGATTGGGAAGGTTGGCCCGCGCAAGAGCCTCTAACGGCCGCTTCGCCCCTCCCCTCCCTCCGCCTCGCCCTCTCCCCCTGCCCCCCCATCTCCCCCCTCTCCCCCCTCTTCCCCCTCTGGTTCCACGTGTACATCTCCCCTCCACTCCCCGACCTCTGCCTCCTCTCCCCCCTCTCCTCCTTCCTCCTTCCCTTCTCTCCTCGTTATCCTCCCAACCCTCATCCTCCTTTTCCTCCTCCTGCTCCTCCTCGTCTTCATCCTCCCAGCTGCTGCCACTCCCTTGGCCGCTGCTGCCTCTTTCCCCTTCATCTTCCTCACCCTCCTGCAGGTCGCTGCGCACACCACAAGGAAGAGGGCATGCTTTGAGTTGAGGGCATGCGATGAGTTGAGGGCATGCGTTGAGTTGAGGGCATGCTTTGAGTTGAGGGCATACTTTGAGTTGAGGGCATGCTTTGAGTTGAGGGCATGCTCGAGTTGAGGGCATGCGTTGAGTTGAGGGCATGCGTTGAGTTGAGGGCATGCGTTGAGTTGAGGGCATGCTTGAGTTGAGGGCATGCTTGAGTTGAGGGCATGCTTTGAGTTGAGGGCATGCTTGAGTTGAGGGCATGCTTGAGTTGAGGGCATGCTTGAGTTGAGGGCATGCTTTGAGTTGAGGGCATGCTTGAGTTGAGGGCATGCTTTGAGTTGAGGGCATACTTTGAGTTGAGGGCATACTTTGAGTTGAGGGCATACTTTGAGTTGAGGGCATACTTTGAGTTGAGGGCATACTTTGAGTTGAGGGCATACTTTGAGTTGAGGGCATACTTTGAGTTGAGGGCATACTTTGAGTTGAGGGCATACTTTGAGTTGAGGGCATACTTTGAGTTGAGGGCATACTTTGAGTTGAGGGCATACTTTGAGTTGAGGGCATACTTTGAGTTGAGGGCATACTTTGAGTTGAGGGCATACTTTGAGTTGAGGGCATACTTTGAGTTGAGGGCATGCTTTGAGTTGAGGGCATGCGTTGAGTTGAGGGCATGCGTTGAGTTGAGGGCATGCGTTGAGTTGAGGGCATGCGTTGAGTTGAGGGCATGCGTTGAGTTGAGGGCATGCGTTGAGTTGAGGGCATGCTTGAGTTGAGGGCATGCTTGAGTTGAGGGCATGCTTTGAGTTGAGGGCATGCTTGAGTTGAGGGCATGCTTTGAGTTGAGGGCATACTTTGAGTTGAGGGCATGCTTTGAGTTGAGGGCATACTTTGAGTTGAGGGCATACTTTGAGTTGAGGGCATACTTTGAGTTGAGGGCATACTTTGAGTTGAGGGCATACTTTGAGTTGAAGGCACGCTTTGAGTTGAGGGCACGCTTTGAGTTGAAGGCATGCTTTGAGTTGAAGGCATGCTTTGAGTTGAAGGCATGCTTTGAGTTGAGGGCATGCTTTGAGTTGAGGGCATGCTTTGAGTTGAGGGCATGCTTTGAGTTGAAGGCATGCTTTGAGTTGAGGGCATGCTTTGAGTTGAGGGCATGCTTTGAGTTGAGGGCATGCTTTGAGTCGAGGGCATGCTTTGAGTCGAGGGCATGCTTTGAGTCGAGGGCATGCTTTGAGTCGAGGGCATGCTTTGAGTCGAGGGCATGCTTTGAGTCGAGGGCATGCTTTGAGTCGAGGGCATGCTTTGAGTCGAGGGCATGCTTTGAGTCGAGGGCATGCTTTGAGTTGAGGGCATGCTTTGAGTTGAGGGCATGCTTTGAGTTGAGGGCATGCTTTGAGTTGAGGGCATGCTTTGAGTTGAGGGCATGCTTTGAGTTGAGGGCATGCTTTGAGTTGAGGGCATGCTTTGAGTTGAGGGCATGCTTTGAGTTGAGGGCATGCTTTGAGTTGAGGGCATGCTTTGAGTTGAGGGCATGCTTTGAGTTGAGGGCATGCTTTGAGTTGAGGGCATGCTTTGAGTTGAGGGCATGCTTTGAGTTGAGGGCATGCTTTGAGTTGAGGGCATGCTTTGAGTTGAGGGCATGCTTTGAGTTGAGGGCATGCTTTGAGTTGAGGGCATGCTTTGAGTTGAGGGCATGCTTTGAGTTGAGGGCATGCTTTGAGTTGAGGGCATGCTTTGAGTTGAGGGCATGCTTTGAGTTGAGGGCATGCTTTGAGTTGAGGGCATGCTTTGAGTTGAGGGCATGCTTTGAGTTGAGGGCATGCTTTGAGTTGAGGGCATGCTTTGAGTTGAGGGCATGCTTTGAGTTGAGGGCATGCTTTGAGTTGAGGGCATGCTTTGAGTTGAGGGCATGCTTTGAGTTGAGGGCATGCTTTGAGTTGAGGGCATGCTTTGAGTTGAGGGCATACTTTGAGTTGAGGGCATGCTTTGAGTTGAGGGCATGCTTTGAGTTGAGGGCATGCTTTGAGTTGAGGGCATGCTTTGAGTTGAGGGCATACTTTGAGTTGAAGGCATACTTTGAGTTGAAGGCATACTTTGAGTTGAGGGCATACTTTGAGTTGAGGGCATGCTTTGAGTTGAGGGAATACTTTGAGTTGAGGGCATGCGTTGAGTTGAGGGCATGCGTTGAGTTGAGGGCATGCGTTGAGTTGAGGGCATGCGTTGAGTTGAGGGCATGCTTTGAGTTGAGGGCATACTTTGAGTTGAGGGCATACTTTGAGTTGAGGGCATACTTTGAGTTGAAGGCATGCTTTGAGTTGAGGGCATACTTTGAGTTGAGGGCATACTTTGAGTTGAGGGCATACTTTGACTTGAGGGCATACTTTGAGTTGAGGGCATGCTTTGAGTTGAGGGCATGCGTTGAGTTGAGGGCATGCGTTGAGTTGAGGGCATGCTTTGAGTTGAGGGCATGCTTTGAGTTGAGGGCATACTTTGAGTTGAGGGCATACTTTGAGTTGAGGGCATACTTTGAGTTGAAGGCATGCTTTGAGTTGAAGGCATGCTTTGAGTTGAGGGCATACTTTGAGTTGAGGGCATACTTTGACTTGAGGGCATGCGTTGAGTTGAGGGCATACTTTGAGTTGAGGGCATGCGTTGAGTTGAGGGCATGCGTTGAGTTGAGGGCATGCGTTGAGTTGAGGGCATGCGTTGAGTTGAGGGCATGCTTTGAGTTGAGGGCATGCTTTGAGTTGAGGGCATGCTTTGAGTTGAGGGCATGCTTTGAGTTGAGGGCATGCTTTGAGTTGAGGGCATGCTTTGAGTTGAGGGCATGCTTTGAGTTGAGGGCATGCTTTGAGTTGAGGGCATACTTTGAGTTGAGGGCATACTTTGAGTTGAAGGCATGCTTTGAGTTGAGGGCATACTTTGAGTTGAAGGCATACTTTGACTTGAGGGCATGCGTTGAGTTGAGGGCATACTTTGAGTTGAGGGCATGCGTTGAGTTGAGGGCATGCGTTGAGTTGAGGGCATGCGTTGAGTTGAGGGCATGCTTTGAGTTGAGGGCATGCTTTGAGTTGAGGGCATACTTTGAGTTGAGGGCATACTTTGAGTTGAGGGCATACTTTGAGTTGAAGGCATGCTTTGAGTTGAGGGCATACTTTGAGTTGAGGGCATACTTTGACTTGAGGGCATGCGTTGAGTTGAGGGCATACTTTGAGTTGAGGGCATGCGTTGAGTTGAGGGCATGCGTTGAGTTGAGGGCATGCGTTGAGTTGAGGGCATGCTTTGAGTTGAGGGCATGCATTGAGTTGAGGGCATACTTTGAGTTGAGGGCATACTTTGAGTTGAGGGCATACTTTGAGTTGAAGGCATGCTTTGAGTTGAGGGCATACTTTGAGTTGAGGGCATACTTTGACTTGAGGGCATGCGTTGAGTTGAGGGCATACTTTGAGTTGAGGGCATGCGTTGAGTTGAGGGCATGCGTTGAGTTGAGGGCATGCGTTGAGTTGAGGGCATGCGTTGAGTTGAGGGCATGTGTTGAGTTGAGGGCATGCGTTGAGTTGAGGGCATGCGTTGAGTTGAGGGCATGCGTTGAGTTGACTCAAAACGCACTACAAATACCAGCATGCCAAATAAATTCACTACAAGTTAGGTAGGGTAAGATCTATCAAGCAGAGAGGGACAAGAGGAGGAGGCAAGGAGGAAGGGTCCTCATTGTACATGAGCGAAAAGCATGAGGCAAGCAAAAAGGTCCGTCATTGCCCTTTTCGCAATTTCAAACGTTCATGGATGTACACAGCAAGAAAGATACACACAGAAAACACGGAAAGGGAAAAAAGAATAGAATCGAGAAGAAAAGAAAAGAAAAGAAAAGAAAAAAAAAAAAACAAACAAACAAATAAACAAAACAAACAAGCAAACAAACAAAGAAACAAAGAAACAAAACAAAACAAACCAGAACAAAGCAAAACAATTTAAAAAGTAAGCGATTCTACAGAAAAAATTAACAGATTCTGGAAGGAAGAAGTGGAGTGGTACGCAAAACCTACCAGAGAGAGTGGTAACCCTATCGGAGAGAGTGGTAACCCTATCGGAGAGAGTGGTAACCATACCGGAGGGAGTGCAGCGGGGCAGACGCCATGCAGTGCGTGCGGGTGTCGGCGATGCGCACGAGCCAGTCCACCGTGAGGCGAGAGCGCAGCAGACGCGGGTCCTAGAGGCGTGGACAAAGCGAGGGGGGGGGGGGAGAAGAGTGGGAAGGGGAAACGGGGCGGGGCAGAGGGCGAGAGGCTAGCCATGCACTGCACTGCCTGCAAGTCTTGGCCATACACAAAAGCCAGTCAACCGTGTGGCGAGAGCGCAGGAGGCGAGGGTCCTGGAGGGGAAGGCAGAGAGGGGACAAGAAGAGAGGGCAAGCAAAGGTGGGAAAGGAGAGAGGGAAGGGGCACAGAGGCCAGCCATGCGGTGCCCGCGAGTTTCAGCGATGCGCACAAGCCAGTCCACTGTCAGGCGAGAGCGCAGGAGACGCGGGTCCTGCATGGGAGGGCGGAGAGAGGAAGGTATGAAGAGAGTGGCAAGGCGCAGTGGGAAGGATAACCATGCAGTGGGAAGGATAACCATGCAGTGGGAAGGGTAACCATGCAGTGAGAAGGGTAACCATGCAGTGGGAAGGATAACCATGCAGTGGGAAGGATAACCATGCAGTGGGAAGGATAACCATGCAGTGGGAAGGATAACCATGCAGTGGGAAGGATAACCATGCAGTGAGAAGGGTAACCATGCAGTGGGAAGGATAACCATGCAGTGGGAAGGGTAACCATGCAGTGCGTGCGGGTCACGGAGATGCGCACTGGGCAGTCCACAGTCAGCCTTTCCTTGCACGCCCCTCTCGCCACACCTCACCTTCTCCACTTCTTCCTCCCCCTTCAGCACTCGTCCACCCATCCGCCCGTCCATCCTCCTCCCACCGCTCCCCATCCCCCCATCCACTGCCGGCCCTCCACCCTCCCCCCACACCCCTCCACCTCCCCTCGCAATGCCCCCATCCCAAAAACTGACTCTCCTCTGTCTCTTTCTCGCCCCCCTGACTCCCTCCCCCCCCTCCCCCCCCTCCTCTCCCTCCTCCCCACCCCCACCCCTGCCTCCACCTCCCCACCAACCCCAACCCTGTCCCCAACCAGGGGGAGGTGGTATCTGACTCGACCCAGGGGGAGGTGGTATCTGGCCCAAGCCAGGGGCAGGTGGCAACTGTCCCCAGCCAGGGGGAGGCATTATCTGTCGCTGCATCAGATTCTGAAAGTCAGCTTGTGTCATGTTGGGAGGAGGAGGGTGAGACATGGGGCTGTATGGGGGGTGAGACATGGGGTTGTATGGGGGGTGAGACATGGGGTTGTATGGGGGGTGAGACATGGGGTTGTATGGGGGGTGAGACATGGGGTTGTATGGGGGGTGAGACATGGGGTTGTATGGGGGGTGAGTGGATGGGAAGGCAGGGCGGTGGAGCCACGGCAGCATAGCAGGGTGCCAGGGAAAAGGGGGCCGGAAAGATGGGAGAGTGGGGCGCGGAGGGTGGGAGGGACGGTGGGGGTGTGGAGGAGAGGGGGAGAGAGAAGGCGGGGGAGGGAGAGTAGCAGGGAGGAGGTGGGGGGAGGAGGGAGCGTGAATGGGGAGGGAGGGCTGAGAGGGCGAGGGGACGAGAGAGAGTGAGGGAGGTGACGAGTCATTATCAGCACCTTCTGCTGTTGCCTCTTCCTGATTCCACTCTATCAACCGCGTTTCACCCATCCCAACCCCGTCACCACCCCCTCCTCCTCCTTCCCAGCTCTCCTCCTCCCATCCCAGCATCCCCCCTCCCCCGCCCTCACACGTCCCCTCAGACAGGCGGGTGTAAGGGGAGAGGCAGGGCAGGGAGAGAGGCGAGGAGGGGAGGGGAGGCGGGGAAGGAAGAGGCGACATGAAGGGTGAGGCGTGGGCGTCTGATGCTGTAGCTACGGGAGCATCCATCGCATCCTCTGCTGCGTCCGATCTGGGAGGAGCATCCACCGTGCCTTGTGCTACCATCACCATGTGGCCGTGGTGAAATGCTTCAGAAACCGCTCCATCATGTGTCACAGGTGCGAGAGCTATACTCTCTGTATCGCCGTGTTCAGCGACTCTCACACCTGCATGAGCGACAGCAGCAGCATCACCAGATGTAACTCCATCATGCGTCGCAGGTACGAGAGCCAAGTTCTCTATATCCCCGTCTTGAGCGACTCTCACACGTGCAGCATCCAGTCCTTCTGCTTCCACGCCCTGCGGGACACACATGGGCTTGGCACGTCTAGAGGCAGTGCCTGCATGGGCGACAGCAGCGGCATCACCGGCTGTAGCTTCAGGGACAACCGTTCGGAGAATCAGGGCTTGAATGTCAGCATCCACGTCAGCTGTAGCATCCACGTCAGCTGTAGCATCCACGTCAGCTGTAGCATCACCCATAGCATCAGCAGCATCACCTGAAGCATCATCAGCAGCAGCAGCTGTGGCGGCAGATTCATCTGTAGCTTCAGCTGTAGCAGCTGTGGCAGCTGTGGCAGCCCGTTCAGACATTGCAGCAGCATCCGTGGTAGTGGCAGCAGCATCCGTGGTAGTGGTAGCAGCATCCGTGGTAGTGGCAGCAGCATCAGGTGAAGCAGCAACAGCCACCGCATCAGGTTTGGCTGTAGCAGCAGCAGTAGCAGCAGCAGCAGCAGCAGCAGCAGCAGCTGTGGCGGCAGCAGTGGAAGCAGCGTTACTAGCGGCGTCAGCTGCAGCAACATCAGCAGCAGCGGTAGCGGCAGAAGCAGCAGTATTAGCGGCGTCAGCAGCAGCAGAAGCAGCAGCAGTGGCAGGAGCGGAAGCAGCAAGGGGAGGGTGAGGAAGGGGTGGTGCAGGAAAGGGAAGCGAGGAGGTATAGGGCGCGAACGGCGGAAAGGGCATGGGGAAGGGGAATGGGGGAAAGGGACGGGCCGGGGATGAAGGTACAGCAGGAGGAGGGGGGTGAGAAGGGGAATGAGGGGGGTTTGTGGGCCGAGACGGTGGGATAGGGGCGGCATGAGAGGGAGGAGGGGGCGGCCATAGGTGGGGAGACAGGAGCCAAGGAGGGGTTGGGTGTGTCACAGCATTGAATGGCATGGCTGGTACGTTGGGTGGTGCATGGGGTGACAGGGAGTAAGCACCAGGCCCTTGCATTCGGTTTGCCATCAGCTGTTGCTGGGACGGCTGGGTGGCAGTGGCGCGGGAGAGGGAGGGGAAGGGAATGCCGAATGCTCTCGCCGCCATCTCATATAACTCCAGAGCCCTCCTCTCATTCTCCTTCTCCCTCTCCTTCTCACTCTCCTTTTCTTTCTCCCCATGCTCCTTCTCACTCTCCTTCTCAGCGTCGCCTTCGTTTTCTTTCTCTTGTTGCTCCCTGTCTGCTTCCCTCACTGCCTCGTCCCCCTCCTCCCTCTCCCCCCTTCCATCTCCCCACTCCCCCTCCTCATCCCTCCCACTATACTTCTCCTCTTCTCCCACCATCATTCCCTCTTCTCCCACCATCATTCCCTCTTCTCCCACCATCATTCCCTCTTCTCCCACCATCATTCCCTCTTCTCCCACCATCATTCCCTCTTCTCCCACCATCATTCCCTCTTCTCCCACCATCATTCCCTCTTCTCCCACCATCATTCCCGCTCCTCCCACCTCCGCACATCCTCTCGTCCTCCCCCTTCCACCGCCTCTTCATCCCCTTCCTCCGCCCCTCCATCCCTGTCCTCCTCCGCTCCTGCAACACCCTCCTGCTGACGCACTCTCCCCTCCATCCCCTCTTCCATCCCCCCCTCCTCAACCTCCATCCCCCCTTCCTCCATCCCACCTTCCACCATTCCCCCCTCCACCCCCCTCTCCTCTCCCTCGCTCTCTAACTCAACTATTTCACTGCACGCCCTGCCAGACCCACTCGCCTTCCCTTTGCTGGGCGCTGGTGGCTCTGCAGCCTTCCCAGTTGACTGTTTCGCCTGTCTAGCCTGCTTTGACTTTCCAGGCTCCGCTGGCTTTGCTGATGACTGCGTTGACTTTGCAGGCTGCGTTGACTTGGTTGACTGCTTGGGCGGCCAGAGGTAAGGCACGGTGGCGGCTACAAGCTCTTCCATGGAGGGAATGATGAGATCGTGCACACTGGTGGGGGGAAAGGGGAGGAGGAGAGAGGAGTGGAGAACGGTTGGGGTGGATTGGGTTTGCAGCAGGGGGGGGACGGGGGAAGTGGGAAAAGTGAATGAGGTTAACCTAAATCAACAAAATTCACCAGCCTCCGAGATGCACCAAAAGACCACCCACCTGCAAAATCACATGAGATAACCACCTGAGAATCACCTGTGAAATCCCATAACAACAAAATCACCTGAGAATTCACCTGAGGGATCACCTGATGTCTCGTTCTGCCAGCCGCGCTCCCTCCACCCCCTCACATGCGTCCAATGCACTGCGGAGCTCCTGACGGGATAGAGAGAGAGAGAGGGGGGGAGGGGGGGATATGGGCGGCGACTTCTGAGCCGACTCAAATTCAGCTCGACTCCACTCACATGCGTCCATTGCACTGCGGAGCTGCTCACGGGATAGCGAGGGGAGCGATATGGAGGGTCAAACGCGGAGGGAGGGAGAGAGGGTGGGCGGGGGGTGGGGGGGAGGGAAGGGTCAAGCAAGAGGGGTTCGATATTGGATTCGCCTCTTAGCTCACAAGTGAGTCACGCTGAATTCGTTTGTCAGCTTTCCTCGCCCTTATCTGAGTCAAGCTGTACGCGTTATAAAATTACAATTTATCGAACTATCTCTCAAAGGGAATTCGTCCAATGCTCCGCGTATACATTATTATCCTCGAACACTTGTTTACAAAGAAAGTGATTACTGTCTCTAGCTCGTGTCTAGCTCTAACTACATCATCCTTCTACCCACCTGCACTAGCGCCTGGCACTGCGTCTCAAATTCCGCCACGTGGACCGCCTTGTAAGCGACACGTGGCAGCATGATCGCGGCGGCCGGCGCGCCGACCACCGCCATATCGGCGCGCTGCAGCTGCTCCGCGCGCAAGCCGCCTCCATCACCTCCGCGTGCCTCTCTTCCGCCAAGCCCGTCGGCGGAAGTTGCGCGGGCGGAGGCTGCGGGGCCATCGTTCCCGGGACCACTGCCATTGACGCTCCGCCGGCTCATCCACTACAGGCAACGAAAACGACCCAAGATTATGTGATGCGTTTTCTCATTGAAACCGCGGTGGTGTGTAGTTGGAGGCGCGAAATTTTTCTAACAGTCATCTTGAAATCGACTAGTTTCCGATAGCCACCTTCATTTCAGGGAGCTCGGTAGGCGAACTAAACCCTAGATGGAACATTTAATACTATACCAGCAGTTATCCGACATCAGAAAAATGAATGTTCTGATGTCGGATAACTGCTGGTAATACTCACTAAATTTGAAAAAGAACATGCCATTATGACTAATTTTCGTAATCTTTAGACTTTTTGCTGACTAAACCAGCGATTGCCATAACCGGTGCATACTCAATGAACCAGGTGATGTACCATATGGCAGCAACCTTCACCAATAGTGGCTTCTCTTGTTATGACGGCGGTTAAAATCAGGCGACGACTACTTCATACTAGTAAGTTGAAGCACAGAAGAAGCCTTCAAGTTCCAGCCGTGACCCCTAAGGAGCACATTCTTAAACTTGTTGTACAGCTGCCACTGCACCATGAGCACATTCTGGAACTTGTTGTCAAATATTATATTCCGGCGCGCCCCTCCCCTCCCCGCCCTTAGCCAGCGCGCACGCCAGCCAGCCAGCGCGCCAGCCAGCCAGCGCGCCTGCCAACCAGCGCGCTAGCCCGCCAGCCAACCAGCGCGCCAGCGCGCCGGCCAGCCTGCGCGCCAGCCCGCTTGCACGCCAGCCCGCCAGCGCGCCCGCCAGCGGGCACACCAGTGAGCCCGCCAGCTCGCCTGCCAGCGCGCCCGCCAGCGAGCTCGCCAGCGCGCCCGCCAGCGAGCCCGCCAGCGCGCCCGCCAGCACGTACGCCAGCGCGCCCGCCAGCGCCCCGCGCCAGCGGGCCTCGCCGGCGCGCACGCCAGCGCGCGCCCTGCCTAGCCGCCCGCCAGCGCGCCGCGCCCGCGCGCCACGCCAGCCAGCGCGCCCCCGCCAGCGCGCGCCCCGCCGCCCCGCGCCCAGCCAGAACGCGCCCCGCCTGCGCGCACCCGCCTCGCACTCACCTCCCTCTCCTCCTCCTCTCGCGGCTGGCGGC